GTGTACATGTGTGTGGATACTCATAGAGGCCAGAGGTTGACAGTGGGTATTCTTAAGTCACTCCACGTTTTTATTTCTTTTTTGATTTTTTGAGACAAGGTTTCTCTGTGTATCTCCGGCTGTCCTGGAACTCACTCTATAGACCAGGCTGGCCTCGAACTCAGAGATCCCCTTGTCTCAGCCTCCCTAAGTGCTGGGATTAAAGGTGTGATTTTTGAGGCAGGGTCTCTAACTGAACCTGGAGATCATTAATTTGGCTAGGTCGCCTGGTCAATGGACTCCTGCCTGTATTCCCACCCCCGGGGCTAGGATCACAGATACACAATGTACCCGGCTTTTACATAGGTGCTTTGGGAAGCCAAATTTAGGTCCTCATGCTTGCAAGGCAGGCACTTTACCAATTGGGCCATCTTCCCAGCAGCAGGTCAGTAAGAACTACAAAATTCTTTTGATGGTGTCTCATCTGTTTGAGACAGCTGATGCTGGGTGTGAACTTTCCCAGTGCTCTGCAGGGAGACTTGGGACTGACTCGGGGCAGCTTACACCACCTGAAGCCCCTGGAACAGCTATGAAAGAGCACCAGGCTGCACCAAGATGGCTTAGTGATTCTTTGAAGATAGCAACATGGAATCCTAACCCCAAATATTAGCATTGCTAGAGAGCCTCAAGCTTAAACTGCCCCAAACAGCTGGAAGTTCTGGAGCAGAACTATGCAGCCAGCCCTAAGCCCAATACTGGACAGCTGCTGGCCCTCTGGAGGCAAAGACCTTTTATAGTCAATAGCACTGCATCATAATAATGATGGCATCAGAGAATCACCTTGCAGCCGGGAGGTGGCAGTGCACGCCTTTAATCCCAGCACTCGGGAGGCAGAGGCAGACGGGTCTTTGTGAGTTCAAGGCCAGTCAAGTCTACAAGAGCTAGTTCCAGGACAGGCTCCAAAGCTACAGAGAAACCCTGTCCTAAAAAACAAACAAACAAACAAACAAACAAATAAAAGCAAGAAAAAAGAAAAGCAACTACCTATTCACAAGTACTATGTAGTTAGTACAAAGCACCCCCTTAATGTACTCAATACAAACAGAAGGGCAACTTTACAGAAACAAGCTATCATGATGTTCTCTGTTAGTTTTGTTAGCCAAAGAGGGACTCTCAGTGGGAACACGCCTAAGGTTTGCCTATAAGCAAGTCTGTGGTGATCTTCTAGGAGGGCCCAGCTCACTGGAGGCAATGCCACCCTGGAAATGTTGTGGATAGTATTAAAACAAACAGGCTGAACTAGCCATGAGGAGCAAGCCAGCAAGCTGTACTTCTCCATGATTTCTGCTTCAGTTCCTGCCTTCAGGCTCCTGTTCTGACTTCTTTCAGTGATGGTCTATGATATAAGTGTAAGCTAAATAAACTCCTTCTTCCCCAAGTTACTTTGGTCTCAATACTTTATCACAGCCGCAGAAACCCTAACACACAGAAAGCAAGTGGCTGGCACTGACACTAACGACGTGAGATGCACGGGTGGCACATGCAGATGTGCCAACACTCAGGAGACAGAGCACAGGGACTGCCAAACTCAAAATCAGTTTGAAACCACAGAGCAAGATCAGGTCCACCTCCCTAAAAAAAAGAAAAAGTACTATAAAACATGTTTTATCTAGTAGAAGTACAGGAGACCCAAGGGCTGAACACATTATACTATCCAGAGAATATAGCACACATCAGAAAAACTTTATGAGGACTTTATGAGAACTGGCAGAATCTGAATGAAGCCTGCAGGTCATGGTATTATTGACTGTTGTGACGGCGTCAAATCAACTTTCCTGATGTTGACCACTGCACATAATTGGTTAACAGAATGTTCCTGGAGACTTTAGAGGGCATAAGCGCATTAACTTCTTTCAAACAGCTCCGAGAAAGCACAAGTAGGCTATTGATTTCCCAACGCAACCCCATACAGCAGTTATGCAAAATGTTAAGTTAATGAGACTGCATGAAGAGTAAATGGGATTCTGTGTAGTATCTTTGCAAGTTTCTGCAGATGAAAACTTAAAATTGTTAAATCTGGCAGTTGAAAGAAAAAAAAACCAGTATATTGGTTAAAACCAGAGGGTAGAATGGAACATACAACAAATAAGCCATTTACATACATACATGTGGAAGATGTATTTCTCTCATAGGCATTCTAGTTGGCTTTGTGGTGCACTTTTAGTCCTAGGTACTTGTAAAGCTGAGGACTTCAGCTTGAGGCCAGGCCAGGCACCACAGAGACCCCATTTCAAATGACAAAATAAGGGAGGTGCTGGGGAGTTAACTTGTCAACTGTTAAAGAGAAGTACAGCCTTTGCGGAGGACACACTGACACTGAAGCTCATAGCTACCTGTAAGTTCCAGTTCCAAAGGATCTATCGCCTCCTAGACTTTCTGAACACATACTCACACACACACACACACACACACACACACAGAGAGAGAGAGAGAGAGAGAGAGAGAGAGAGAGAGATCTTAAAAAATTATTTACCTGCACATATGTCTGTATAGCACAAGTGTGCAGTGCTACAGAGGTCAGAAGAGGGTGTGAGATCCCAGCAAGTGGTTACAGATGGTTGTGATTGGCTCTGTGTCTGCTGCTTAGAGGTTATGGTCCTCACTGGCCCGAAGCTCACTAAGTAGAGGAGGGGTGCTAGCCAGGAAGCCCTGGGTATCTGTCTTTTGCCACATCAGGCCCCACACTACCATGTCTGAGTTTTCACACAGGCTCTGGGGATTGAACTCTGGTTCTCATGTTTCTGTGACAAGCACTTTATGAATGAGCTATCTCCTAGCTGGTTTTGAGTCTGTGGAACCTTGTGACTGTGACCTAGCTAACAGAAGTGGTTTCTGAAGGCAGACCCTGAATGGGTTATCAGATTCGAGTTTGATCTCAGTTCTTTTGCTTCCAGATTCACCACTAAGAGGTGGTCACAGATTCTACTCCCATGGATCAAGCCCAGCTGCCATGCCTTCTATGTCACAATGGATTGACAGTCTCTCAAACTGAGGCAATACAAGTTTCTCTTAAGCAGACTCTATTCTGAATTGTTAATTTCACAATAAGAGTTTTATGATGACATGAAATGGGGGCTCCAGCATGGAACACGTTGGGCTGTCTCTAAGCATGCTGTTAAATAACTAAACCAGTGACTCTTTTAAGATGGAAACATGTCTGTTTCCCTAAAAGCAGAAGGTGCAAATGGGAACTTACTGCAAACAGTACATGGCAGGTGGCAAGCCTCAATGTAGATGGGAAATGAGGCACTGTGGGATAAAAGAAAAGTCATCCAATGCGTTCCTTCTCATTGCAGCAGGAACACTGTGGACACTTATAGGTACCTCATCAAATGGAAGGAAGAGCCTTGAAGAACATAACCCTACGCAGTGCAAATGAATGACAGGACAGCACCAAGAGCCTTAACTTTCCCTCACTGCAAATAAAATTCTAAATACCTCTCTGTATTCAGGACCTGACAAAATGGAGTTTATATGTAACGGTGCTTAATACCTGTTTTTCTGTGAGGGGGCTGAAGACGCAGCTCAGGCAGGGCTAGAGTATACAGAGTTTGAGGCTAGCCTGGGCTACAAGCAAGACGCAGTTTTACCCTTTCTTTGAACACACACAAAAAACACAAATAATGAAAAAATAATTGAAATAACAGAAGAGCATAGAAGTAAGTTATTTCCTCTATGTGGTCACATGTTTATTTTTGAAAGTTTTTTGTTTGCCTTAAAAGAAAAAAAAAGAAGAAAAAAAAATGGATCTGGTTGTCCTGGAACTATGCAGCACAGATCTCTGTGAGTTCGAGGCTGGCCTGGTCTACAGAGAAAGTTCTAGGACAGCCAGAGCCAAGCACACAAAGAAACCCTGTCTCGATGTGAGTTGTACTTTTAGTTGTACCCTATGGAATGAACCTACAGTTCTTCTACTTGGGAGGCACAGGACTGCTTGAGCTGAGTTAGGAGCATCCTTTGTGGGAGTGGAACATAATGGACTAATGTATTTGGTGATTTTCTTTTTTTACCAAGACAGGGTTTCTCTGTGTAGCCCTGGCTGTCCTGGAACTTAATCTATAGACCAGACTGACAACTGGCCTCTGCTTCCTGAGTGCTGAGATTAAAAGTATGTGCTACCATGCTCTGCCAGTATATCGTGTCTTCAGCTGACACATAAGAGAATACCATGATCTTAATGCTATTAAAAAAAAGCCCACACAGGAGAGAAACATTCAAATGTGAATAGTAAGCTGGAAGAGATTGTTCAGTAGTTTAGAGCACTGGCTGTACCAGGCAGTGGCAGCATGCACGCCTTTAATCTCAGCAGCCAGGAGGCAGAGGCAGGCAGATCTCTTTGAGTTCAAGACTAACCTGGTCTACAGAGTGAGTGCCAGGACAGGCTCCAAATCTAAACAAAGAAATCCTGTCTCGAAAAACGGGGGGGGCGGGGGGAAGAAAAAAAAAAAACAGAGCACCGACTGCTCTTCCAAAGGTTCTGAGTTCAATTCCCAGCATCCACATGGTAGCTCACAGCCATCTGTAGTGGGATCTGATGCCATCTTCTGGCATAAAGTTAATAGAGCACTTATATACATAAAATAAGTAAGTCTTTTTAAAAAAGACAATAAAATGTAAATAGTGGTGCCTGTCAATAAAATGAAGTAGTTTATTTGCTTCTTTATTCTTTCCTTTAGCTTTTCCCGAGAGTTCTGTTATAAATACACATTTTAATAACCAGAAAACAATGTTTTATTTTTTTTAAAGAAGAAAAAAAATCCCCTTACTATAATAGGTTCATCATCTCTACATATAGGAAAAAACGTATGGCCACTTACCTAGCCACGTTCCGGGTTTCTGGAAGCTGAAATGCAATTCAGGAACATACATATGTATGTACACTGACTCACTTATAAAATTTCAATAGATGACTTCTGATACACAATAAATCCAAGAACAACATCACAAAACACATCACTGAATTATACTAAAATAAGGTTATTTACTGAAAAATGATACATTAGACATAATCTGTATATAGAACAAAGCAATTAATGGTAAACTTAATAAGGCACCTTTTAAATCAGATTCTGTACAAAATACATTTAGTGTGTTACATATCAAAGATGAATCTATATTTTTGGTGTTTTACAATTGCATATTAAAAATGCCTCCTTTTAACCTGTCAATGCCTTATGTACAGTTTCCCTAAGCTATAATATTTTCATTTTATACAATATATACTACATTTTAGCTTTTAAGAGGGAAGAATAAAGGTCACTAAAGAGCTTAAATAATTCCACTGAAAGAGTGCAGAGTACAACCTAAAATTACAGTATTATGTCTAATTCTTTGCAAAAGCCATATTCATAAGCTTTCCTTATGGGATGGTCATTCCTGCAGATTCACACACTTCACCAGAGGAACAAGTTCTGCTTGCCTAGTCTCCCCTCCTTCACAGCCAAGAGGAGAGCAAACCGTCACTGCTTAATATCTGACTCAATTTGTGTTGTTACCACAAGGGCTACATAACCTTTCTTTCAATATGAATTAAACTTTTGTTGAAATTATCTTAGACATCTGGAGACATTTCAAAACAACATGTATCTGGAAAAGACAAGGTTTTCACTTAGGAAATCTGCCTTGGAAGAAACAATCAATATCCAACAACTTATCTTGGGCCAAATCAGAGATACACGGTTCTTGAAAAATTACTATCTTTTTATTCTAAATAAGGAAAAATATCTAAAAAGAAAAAAAGGATTGAATAACATTAGAACATTCCAGGACAAGAGCTGATTAAGCCAGTTCACTTTACAGGCTTAGGAGCGTTTCTGGACACGGGAAGGATAACAAACATGCTGACTAAATACCTTTTGTTACAGTGTTTCCAGGGAAATCAGTTCTCAGTGTTGCAGAAGCCTCAAGACAGTCAAGTTGGGACCAATCTTTACCTGCTCTGTACCCCTGTAACACCTGACCATACAAACCACTTGCGGTATCTTCCTGGATCATTTGATATTTATTTAGGTAGATGGGTTTGGGCTTTTATAATGTTATGATTTAAAAAGATTGCTGATGTTAGCCATATTTTTTAAACTCTAGATTCAAAGTGGGACCAAATGAGTTTGCAGATTTTTACAAGTTACTAATTACTAACTACACAGTACTTTTTTTTTTACCAGTTGTTTATATATTTTGTTTTAAATTACACTTATGTGTTTGAATATGTGGAGTGCATTATGTGTGTGTGTGGAGGAGTGCACGGGGGGATGCATGCCAAAGAGTGTATTGATGTCAGAAGACAATTATGGAATAGTTGGTTCTCTCCTTTCGCACGTGACCCAGAGACTGCACTGCAGGTGGCAGCTTGCCAGCAGTGTTTCTACCCACTGAGCCTTCTCACTGGCCAAGGGCTGATATAGTCTTCAAATACTTCACTGAATTTCCCATATTTTTAAATGCTTTATTTATTATGTATACAGAGTTCTGCCTGCATATATGCCTGCACAGCAGAAGAGGGCACCAGATCTCATTACAGATGGTTGTGAGCCACTATGTGGTTGCTGGGAACTGAATTCAGGATCTCTGGAAGAGCAGCCAGTGCTCTTAACCTCTGAGCCATCTCTCCAGGCTTAAATTTCAAATTTAAGAATAAGAGGGAGGAGAAGAAAAGGAAAAGTTTAATGCAACTTTAGACATTAGGGTTCTACGTAAGGACTATTGCAGCATTTGTCCTTTAAAGAATGTTACTGTTTCTACCGAGTACTGAGAGGCAGCTTGGGAAGGCAGTGACTCCAGTACTCACTATCAGCCTTAGAATTAATCCCTGGTAGCCCCCTTCCTCAGACCAAGCTAATTAGAAAAGAATCATTATATAGCGGCCTCCACACACCATTCAAGCATGTCTAAGAATGAAGTGTGCCGTTCATTAGGTATATCATCAAGATGATAATGATTTTTAAGACTTAGTTTATTCAGGCAAAAAATATAGCCAGGTTAACTTGGCTTAAGTAATTCAAATCTCCTATGTGTTCTCAGGCTTTGGTTACAATAAATGAAACTCATTAAATAGTCAAAGCAAGTCTCAAATTTGTGGAATTCGTGTATTATATTTAGTTATAAATGAATAGATGGACAGTCTCCCATTTAAACGAAAACGGTTGACTATGTTATAACGCAATCACTTTTAATTTATGTTTCATCCACAGAGACAATGTCACTTGATCCTCTCCTGGCTTGTTTGCGCAGAATAAACATTTAAATAATATGATATCGGCATGTAAGTTTGAACCAGAACTGTTCTTTGAGAGAACAAGCCCTCTATTAAAAAAAAAAAAAAGCATCATTTTATTTCAGCTGTTCAGTATAGACATGGGCAGTGACCGGTACTGGACACTTCTGCCTGACTCTTTGTCTTCACAAGTTAGGGATCAGAAACTGTAAAAAGCAAATTTCTAAAGATTTAGATATATAAAATACATTTACCAGTTACTGACAAATTTATATTAGCTGACATCCTTCATAAAAGAATGAGGCAATATCTTAATGAACTTTTTGACTAAAGTTTTTAAATGCATGAATTCTGAAATTCACACATGGTTCTACTTTAAAACATTCCCCCCATTATGGATAAGATCCAAGTAAACTGTTTGGAATAGAGTTCTGTGTGCAAGTAAAATATGGCTAGAAAGATGATTATGTAGATTTTGAAAATAAAAGCACATTACACATGATAAACAACTTCCCTTTTTAAGAGATACTGAGAGCAAAGACTTCAGAATTTGATCACAGACATGCACATCATTATCAGATACAGCAAGGCCTTCTCCAGCAAGAGGCATTTTCTTCCAAAGTAGGGTTTAAAGTTTCAACTCTGGACAGGTGGTATTTTATTAAAAAAAAAAAATACCAAACTAGAAAACAAAATGGTGATAGAAGAGAAACAGTCCAAATTTATGGACACTTTAAACTTATTTGGCCTTTACAACTATTATGTTAGAAACAAATTTGGTGGAGAAGTTACTACAGTTACAAGGTAGATGACTTTCATGAGATTGGCAAATGTTGATCGGATATTGCATGTTTAACCTGTCAGCCACAATACCCTCCTGCACATCACACATTCTTTTCCTAAGCCCCATGGCAGCAGAGGAACTCTGGTGTACATATCAAAGGCATAGTGCACCATCATAAACCAGGCTGTATCCCAAAGAGATCATAATCTGTAGGCTGTTTACAAAGATAGAACGCAAATAGATGTTTTCTCTGATAGAAGGCAAAAATGTCTTTCTCCATCTCTGCTGAGTTCATTAATTTTCTCCAGGCTTTCATAGAAAGCATCACTTTATGGACAGAATAATGAGTGCCCAGAGTTAGACCAGAGGCTTCTTATCAGGATTGGAGTCTTGATATCGTTCATAAAACCAAACCTGTAGAACAAAGTTGTCCTGTCCATGTATAAAGATTGACACGCTTGGGAGTTCAAATCTTGTATTCCGCAGAGTACTGAAGGTTTACTGTTAGCAGCCTGTGAAGATGTGGCAAAGAAAGAGTCTGAAAATCAAGCCAACATCCTATTCCATGCTAACCCACCCATTCCTTGGGTGAAGTTCTTACAGTCTAGATTCTCCCTTACAACTGTATAACTGTCAAATCTTTACATCCTGGGATTCAACCATTTTTGCAAGTGTCTTCTTGATTCTCAAAGCTGTGAGTCTGGAGGCTGGATTATGGGCCCAGCATTCTGACATCAGCTTCAAAACTGCTCGAAGACACTAAAGAGAAATGGAAAGAGACTGTGGTAAGCATGGGGTAACACAACATTCACTCACTCATCACTTTACAGGGACTTGGTTCCAACTTACTTCATCACTGTTCCAGCGGTTAGACACGATTGGCCGCAATCGTTTGACACACACAACCTCACGCATATCTTCATAGGATGGGTCACTGGGCACCATGTTGTAATATGGTAACTGGTATTCCTCCACTATTCCTGTGGGGAGTGAAGAGACACAGTGAGCAGAAACATGGAGGAGTGGTATACAGCAGCTCACTCAACTACAGAACAAAGAATGAATTCGTACATAAAAAATTAAAACCTGGATGGTTCTCTTATTAACAGTAAATACATGTTTCTATTATTTATGACCCATCATTTCTAACAGGGCGAGTCTGTCAACAATGGTATATAGTGTTTCTCTTGGGGGTAGGGCACTTAAGACCTGAGACAAGAGGACTATGACTTGAAGCCAGCCTGTGTTACAAGCAATGAAACTCTCAAACAACAAACACAAAAGAAAGAAGTAAGATTTTCTTAAAATTTTTGGTGTAAATATCTGTTTACTTGTTTGTCACTCTTAGGAATGTCTCTATTCCTCTCTACTGCAAGAGAATGACTAATCACAATCTGCACACAAGCTCACAAGACAGCCCACTATGGCTTTCATTAAAAAGGACACAAGGTCAGCCCTTGCCTCTTGTCTGGGAACTGAATGGTGAGTCATTCACCACTGAGGCCGTCACCTCCCAGGTGCTAGCAGTAGTTCACCTACTAACTGCACAGAGGCCTCTGATGACAGCCAACAGATGTGAGCAAGACTGAGCTTCTCCGGATGACAACACTTTCCAGTCACAGCTGGCTGGGGAGGGGTGGAGCTGTTGGAGCCTCTCTCGGCACCTCTCCCCTCAGAGGACTTTAAGGTATCTTTTCACTGAAATGTATGTGAGGAATCAAGACAACTATGTGAGGATCTTAGGGTAAATCTAATGAAACCACAGATTCTGAGAGTGGCCCTGGAAAACACTGACATAGGTGACGTACAGACTAGGTAATTACTTTTTAAATGACAGGTAAACAAACATAATCAAAAACATGGTTCAAACTCTTACCTCCTGTAATACAACGACGAGCCATTTCCCAAATAATTAAGCCAAAGCTATAGATGTCAGCCATGATGTAAGGCTGGAAATGGTTCTTATTCAGGCTTTCATCCAGTACTTCGGGAGCCATGTAGCGCTTGGTGCCCACCCTGGTATTCAAGGGTATGTCAACTTCGTTTGTATCACTACGACAGGAGAAGGACAATGGCCATGTTGAGAGTCAACGATAGTTCTTATCTGTACTTTTTTTTTCTTTTTGGTTTTTTGAGACAGGACTTCTCTCTGTATCTCTGGCTGTCCTGGTATTCACTCTGTAGACCAGGCTGGCCTCGAACTCACAGAGATCTGCTTGCCTCTGCCTCCCAGAGTGCTGGGATTAAAGTCATGCACCGCCACCACCCGGCTCATATCTGTATAGTTTTAATAAACATTTTTCTTTCTAAATGTGTAAATTCCTATATTCTTTACCATAAATTCTTGGGGTCACATTACAAAATTTAGCACCTTTGTAGACTTTATATATTGCATATTATATAACATCCCCAGTATGGTCTGGAGAGGTTATTCTGGGCCTTGGTACCATGTCTGCCACAAATCACTAACTCTGACTTTTTTACACTAAACTGTATTACCACAAGCACTTTTATTTATTTTTTCATTTCCTCTTTCTCACAAGGACCATTCATTAGTTCGGCCAAAGATCTGTCACCAAGGAAGTTCTACACTTCTCAAAAAGTAACAGTGCTGGTCTAGGAGGTGGTACACACCATATAAACAGAGCATGGCCTATAATCCTAATATTAAGCACCAATGAGGTAAGGGCAGGAAGATCAGAAATTCAAGGTCATCCTTGGCTAAATAGCTGGTTCCAGTCCAGCTTGAGCTACATGTGACCCTGTCTTAAGAAAAAGAAAAAGGAACCAGGCAGTGGTGGCGCACCTTTAATCTCAGCACTTGGCAGGCAGAGGCAGACAGATCTCAGTGAGTTCGAGGCCAGTCTGGCCTATAGAGACAGCCAGGACTGTTACACAGAGAAACCCTGTCTCAAAAAAACCAATATTTTATATAAGGACAAATAATTATATCTGAGAAGTATGAAAATAGAAGAGGAATCATTTATTGTTACCATTCTTATACAATGAGCTTAGCATTTTTTTTTCCTCCTTTTTTTGAGACAGGGTTCCTATGTAGCCCTGTCTGTCCTGGAACTCACTCTGTGGACCAGGCTGGTCTCAAACTCAGAGAGATCCACCTGCTTCTTCCTCCTGCATGCTAGGATTAAACACATGCGCTACCACTGTCAGGCTATAAGCTTAGCATTTAAAATACAGAATTATGTTATTTTTCAAGGTTCCAATCTACTTAATTACAAGAAAAGTGATATCTATAAAAAGTCAACCCAGTGAAAAATGATTTATTAGTTTCCTGGATTTTGAACTGAATTTTAGACTTGAAGACCTAATATTACTTGTGCCCCTAAAGCAAGCTTCTAGAACTGCTTTCCAGTAGAGAGGGATACAAAGTGTTATATTTTGTTATAAAACATCTGTGGTGGTTAATCTTTATTGTCATCTTGACTAGATTTGTAAGCAACTGAGAAACTAAAAAAGACCTGGAGGTGGGTCTCTGAGCCTGCTTCCAGAGAAGTTTAATGGACGAAGGACACAGTATCCTGAATGAGGTGATACCAATTCACAGGCTAGGGTCCCATAATGAGTTAAAATGGAAAACAGAGAAAGCAAGGGACCTCCCCCCAATTAGCGCTCAACTCTCTGCTTTTTGATTACAGGTGCAATGTGAGCAGCAATCTCACAATCCCACCATGATGCTTCCCCTTTTATAATGGACACATGAACAAAAGAACTTCTTCTTTCCTTAAAAGCTGTTTTTGTTGGGCTGGCATCATAGCTCAGCCATTAAAAGCTAAAGACAAAAGTTGCTTTTGTCATTTTTTGTCCTGGCAACACAAAACATAAGGACAGGCTCAGTGAGTAAGAGCACTTGTGGCACAAACAAGAGGTCCTGAGTTCAAACCCCTTACTTCCCAAGCTGGGTACGTCCATGTTCCCGCCAGTAACCCCACTGCTATAGAGGGTGGAGAAAGGATGTTCATTGAGGCTTCCAGTCACCAACCTAACTTCGGGTTTAATGAGAGACCCTTTCTCAAGGGAGTAACAAAATAAGTAACAAAATAAGTAACAAAATAAGTAAGAAGGGGCTACTGGAGGTCCTCCTCTGGCTTCTGCTTGTGTATCAGTACATACCACACAGAGAAGGAGGGGGGCAGGGTTGTCACTGTGATAAACCTGACAGTATGACTGATATGCCGTTAGTACTGGCCTATGGGAGGACTGTGGAAGAGTTCAGATGTGCATGCTAGAGAGGCCTGGGAATGATGAACAGAGCATACCGGGCCGTTCTGATAGGAAATGGAAGACTAGAATGCTGAGAGAAATGCAGAAAGTGGAGGCTTGGCTCATGATGCTTTAGGGAACAAGAACTCTACAGAGACCTAGGCTAGAGGCTAATTTATGTTTCATCTTGGCAAGAATAGGGTTGAAATCTTCATATGTCCTGAAAACTCATGTGAAGATGAATTAAAAGTAATGAATTAAGAACTGAAGAGATAACTTAGCTGTTAAAAGCATTTCATGTTTTTCCAGAGAACCTGGGTTTAATTTCCAACATCCAAAGCTTCAGAGATCTGATGCCCTCATCTGGCCTCTTCAGGAACTGCATGCATGTGACACAAAGATATCCATGCATGAAAAATATCTATACACTTAAAAATAAAAAATAAAGACAGTGTGGTGGCACACACTTTAATCCCAGTATTTGGGAGGCAGAGGCAGACAGATCTGAACTCGAGGCCAGCCTGGTCTACAGAGTCAATTCCAGGACACAGGAAAACCCTGATTTGAAAAACAATATCCACCCCCACCCCAACAATGGACTAAGATTGTGTTCACGTATGTGTGTACCATGTGAGTGCAGGCATCTGCAGATGGCACTGGAACTGGAGTTACATCTGACTGTGGGCCTCTCATGAGTGTGCTGGAAACAGCAGCAACTGTTTGTAACTAATGAGCCATCTCTGACCCCAAGGACTGCGCTGTTTGGTGGAGGAAACCTGAAGACAGCACGCCATTCTAGCTGTGGCGTGGTTCGTTCTTTCTTTCCTGTGTTCAGGAGGGAGCACGTGTACAGCTCAGAAGACAACTTGCAGGAGTCAGTTTTTTTCTTCACTATTCTGGTTCCAGGGATGGAATCATTATCAGGCTTAGTGGCAAGTGCCTTTACCCCACTCAGCCATCACACTGGCCCTTACTTATTTTTTAAAGGAGTATAAAACCATTTTACACAATAAAGTTAATAATAAGCTAATAATAAGAAATTAGATAACATTCCAATAGCTCAAAATTATTTTCCTGGCTTCTGCTAAACCAGTACAAATACAAAAAAAAAGGAGAATCTATATAAAAAGAAAGAGTTTGGGGCGGGGAAAACAAATAGGTCAATAATTTACACTATAATAAATAGTTTGCTCATTCATTTATGGTAGCCAAGTCTTAAACTGCCTAACCATATGATTACATTTCCATGAACTGTCTTCACTACTCCACAATCTTAACTTTCTAGTTCATTGATCTGAACTTTGTGTGAAGGATCCTACTTAAGTCAACTAAAACCAGTCTAGTTTCCTGAGTCAGGAAGCTATTGACAGTGATAAAATTTTGTCTTTCAGAGATTGTACAAATAAGTCATTGCACATATGGTACTATGTATTTGTGAATGTAATACACAGACAGACACACACACACACATTTGTGAATTTCCCAACCCAAACTTGCAATTAACTATTAACTACAAAATCATCTATTTCATTAGAAAAGTATGGTTTCAGGAAAATTTTTGATTTAACCCTGCTCCAAAACGATTCTATAGAGATTTTCCCAGTTTGAGCTGCCAAGGCATAGAAAGGCCAAGTACAGCTGTGGCAGAAAAGGAACAAGCTGACTAAGTGATGAAAAAGCAGAAGAATTCATTGGCATCACCATGTGGTTCATCAGTCACACCAAATGGAAGTTAAATGGCCATGGAGGCCTTATCAAGGTTCTTCAAAAAAACACTGCAACAGTGCTGAATTCTCCAAAATAAGAGAGATCTAGGAAGTTGAAGGTGCTAGGACTAGGAATGTCCATTGAAGAAAAGCTCCAAGTACGGAGTAGAGCCAGCCTAAGAGAGAGGCTACATTTATCGCAGGCAGCAAAGCAGGATGAATGGGGCTATCCAAGTTCACTGGAGCCCATATGATGCCATCACAAATGTCCGGTATATTTGGTATGCAAGCCTGCTGAACAACAAAAAAGCCACTCATTGAACTGCGAAGTTATCTCTTCAGTCCCTCCAGTAGTACTTTTCTTTTGTGGCTGTAAATGAATTCTGAAATGTGAAACAACCACTCCATTCTTAAACTACATCATAATACAGGATAACTGCTTCAACAGTCACCTGATTTTTTTTGGAGGAAGGAGGGGCTTGAGACAGGGTTTTTCTGTGTAACTCTGGCTGTCCTGGAACTTGCTCTGTAGCCTGCCTCTGCCTCCAAGTGCTGGGATTAAAGACATGTGCCATACCATCTAGCTACTGAAATTTTTATAATGCCAACTGTTTTGGAAAATTGACAATATCAAGAGAATATCTCCCACATTTACAGGAGTATGAACTGGCACACGATACTGCTGTGAAGCAGTACTATACAACATGGCACAAGTTAGTATGTGGAAGCTCCTCCAGTAGTCTCCCTTCTCTAGAAATCCATTATGAAAAAATACTTATGCAAGTACTCAAAAGTAGAGTAATATGTATAAATGATTGAAATTCAATAATATTTATGATAACCTTCATTTCTTTTTTTTTTGACAGAGTATCTCTGAGTATCCCTGGTTGTCTTAGAACGAACAACTCAGAGATCTGCCCACATTTGCCTCCAGAGTGCTGAGATTAAAGGTGTGTCCACCTTCCCATCCTGATTTCATAACCCCCCCTTTTTTTTCGGGAGTGGGGGTATTCAAGACAGTGTTTCTCTGTGTAACAGCCCAGGCTGTCCTGGAACTTACTCTGTAGACTAGGTCGATTCCAAGATTTGCCTGCCTCTGCCTCCCGAGTGCTGGCGTGTAACTACTATCACATGGTTTCATGACAACCTTGCTTTAATACAGATGAACTGGAAGCAAACTTAATGCCCTTTGTCCATTACTTGGGTCACAAGCTACTTATATGTAACATGGACAACTATTTGAAAAAAGATCAAGTACAGGTAAACTGAAATAAAAGAATAAAAAATAGAAAATCAACAATTATGTAGAGGCTGGAGATGTGATTTAGTAGCAGAGTGTATATTTAGTATATGTAGGATCCTGAGTTCAATCCCCAATAATCCCCCAGAAAAGTATAGTGAAACATAGCTTTGTAAAAAAGAAAACAAAAACAACAAACAAAAAACCCCAAAGTAACCCTGATTATAAATACCAGTTATATATTGAAATAATTTCCAAACATCAAACAAAAAATCATTTACCTGTTGAATTTAACAGCCAGACCAAGGTCAGCAATACAGCAACTTCCATTTTTCTTAATAAGGATGTTTTTGCTCTTCAGGTCTCGATGAGCAATTGCAGGCTTTCCTTGGGTACCATAAATTTCTGTGTGGAGGTGGCACAGACCACAGGCAGCAGAGTAAGCTAACTTGAGTAGGGCTCTGGTGTCTAGTGTGGCACATTTCAGGAAGTCATAGAGAGATCCATTTTCATGGTAATCAGTAATCAAATACAGCTGAGTCCAGGAGCCAGTGCCTTTAATGTCTGCAGCTATAAAACCTGTTTGGTTAATGAGTTTAAAAGGTTAGCTATCAGCAGAGGCGCTAGGCAGTTACAGATGCACATTCAAAATACTGGAAACGAACTACTTACTTTGTACAGATAGTACTTTCCTAATTTGACCTGCAAAATGTTTTGATTGTGTAACAAACCAACAAAAAACCCATTTCCTATGTCACTACATAGTATAGTGTTACTACATTTTTACAAATTTACAGTATTTTTTTTTGCCGGGTGGTGGTGGCGCACACCTTTAATCCCAGCACTCAGGAGGCAGAGGCAGGTGCCTCTCTGTGAGTTTGAGACCAGTCTGGTCTACAGAGCGAGTTCCAAAGCTACACAGGGAAACCCTGCCTCGAAAACCCCCCAAAAAACAAATTTAGAGTATTCTTAAATTTATGTATGTATTATGTGTGTTCGTGGAGGACAAAATCAGGGGGGTGTCATATTCTCTAGAGCTGAAGTGACGGGCAATTATCGGCTTCCTAATGTGGGTGCAGGGAATCAAAGTGAGGTCCTCTGCAAGAACAGTATGTGCTCTTAGCCACTGAGCCATCTCTCCAGTCCATATTTACAGTATTTTTAAAGACAGGGTTTTGCTATGCAGTCCAGGCTATATCTAAACTTGTGATCAAACTCAGTCTGAGTGTTGAGATTATATGCCTGTGCCAGAACATACAGCTAGCTAATTTATGATAATCCTAACATTAATCACAACCGTGATAATAATGACTAAGAAAAAGAAGTAATAATAATAACCTACATGATGTTCTCGTGAGATGGCAGCACACACTTGTAATTCCAGTATTCAGGAGACAGAGGAAGCACAAACTGAAGCTGCCAAAGCTACAGAGTAAGACTCTGTGCAAAGACAACAAAAACAAAACCCTACCCACGAACACCCAAAATAAAAGTTTTTATTTCAAGTTGAAAAACAGATACTTTAAGTTACATGTGAAACAAGATCTTTATAGGTGGAATTATATTTACATGAAGCCATGCAAGATATAGATGGCTAAAGTCGGTTATTCATAGGAATAAGCCTCCACGTATTTATTTAGGAGCTGGGTGGTGGAACCCCAATGAGTCAAAGAGTAAAAAACAACCAACAATAGTAAAAGAACACTAAAGACTGGCAGTCAGGAAGAAACCCCAGATAGGGCAAGGCCCTGCCAATAGCTTGATTTTTAAAATTCTGGATTCTAAAATTAAAGGGGATAATCTAATCAGTTGTTTTCTTTCTCTGTATGTGTACACATGTGCATACATGTGAGTGATAGTGCCTTTAGGTCAGGGAACCACCTTACATGTTGTTTCCTATTGACCCAGAACTTAGACCCAAGCGCTGGGTCAGAGTGCTCTGGGGATCCACCTGTCTCCTCTACCTTCCATCCTTCACCATCACTGATTACGAGCTTGTACTATAACACACTTAGCTCTTTAAGTCGCTTCTGAACTCAGGTTTCTGCTTATTAGGCAACCCCTTCTTCACAAGTAGGCTACCGCCTCACACTGCTTCTGGTGTTTTCTTTTTTGATTTTTTTTTTCTCTCCTTTTTTGAGGAGTAATTTTAGAGACAGGGTTTCTCGGTATAGCACTGGCTGTCCTGAAACTCTATAAACCAGGCTGGCCTTGAACTCAAGAAATCTATCTGCCTCAACATGGGATTAAATGTTTGGGCCAACACACCTGACTACACTTCTGATGTTTTAAGCTACTCAGTTTGTGATAACATTTTACACAATAGGAAAGGAACATAAATCTCAGCACTTGGCAATGGGCAAAGCACTTTACAAAATAAGAGACAGTATAATAGCAGCTGAAAAGACACAGGAAAACGAGATCTGTTTATATAATCTACTGATCAGAGACCCACATTACTTCACTACTATATAAATGAGGTAGTGAGAGGAACATATACTGGGTATAGAAAATACAGTGAAGCCACACACTGGGTTCTTGTGCTGACAAAAGCTAAAGGCGGACTCAGTTAAAGTTACCCTAGAAAAAGCATTCTGTGATGCTCTCTACAAAAGACTTGGCTTCCACTATTATGTACATTCAATAAACCAGTTTTAATTATGCTTTTGAAACTCAATGCTGTTTAGAGTAATAAAAAGCTTTTTTTGGCATTCTCTGGTTCTGGTTCACTAAGAATTCTGCTGGATTTCTTTTAGTTATACAAACATTTGAATCCACATGCACACGGCAGGCTCTCCCCTGTACCCAAACACCCCTGCCACAATGAGAAACTTACTAAAGCGAAGGAAACTCACCAAGTATATTTTCATGACGCATTAACACCGTCTGGTAGATTTCCGTTTCTCTAAACCAGCTAGCTTCTTCAGTGGTAAAAAACACTTTGACTGCCACTTTCTCGCCACGCCATTTACCCATCCACACTTCTCCATATCGGCCTTTACCAACCTGCCGAACCATCTGAATCTGTTTGGCAATAGTTCGCTGAACCTACACAGGAAAGAAAAAAGACAGCATTTTGAGCTCTTTAGGCAAAGAATCTTTTAAGACTGACTAATCTATTAGCAGTCTATTAAGTTGTGATATGTCATGCCATGCCATAAAACACTGGCATATCCAAATAACTTCCATGCAAACATACTAACCTCAATGTTTAAACTACAGTATTTAAAAGCAGCAACAAACAATGTATTCTGAAATCACACACAGTCACCCTTGAGAAGTCTCCTTCCCCACAGACTTGGGTTTTGGTTATGTGACTTCTTTTGTGAACAGAATATCAAGTATGTGACTCGCAGACTTCACAGATGCGTGTGTATCACAGCTTGCCCTTTCTTTTGGGCTTCTGGGAACCCTGCCTCCCACAGAGAGAAGCAGCACCATGTCAACTGTCAATCCTATGCACAAGCTATACAGCTGATCAGTATCTGGGCAAATCTAGAAGTCAAACTTCCCAACAAATTCAGCCATGAGAAATAAATACTTTTGGCTTCCAGTCACTAAGTTCAGGGTGATTTACTATACAAAATCTAAAAATAAAAACCCCTCACCTCAGTCTCTAAGATCCTAGATGATCTGACCCAGCCCCAGTTTTCACTATTTACCTATACTCCCCTTATTCCAACTTTTTTTTTTAATTCAATTTTTTTCCCCCAATACAGAGTATTTTGCTCATTTATTACCCTCTTCAAATTCCTCCCAGAGGTTAGAGGTGGGACTATGTGTCTAACTCCCCTTCTCAATGCTGGGATTTTGTCTTGTTTGGAGCTATGCATGTTACCACACTTTCTGAGTTCATATGTGTACTGGTCCTGTTGTGTCTGGAAAACACTGTTTTCTTGGAGTCATGCACCATCTCTGGCTCTTACAACTTTGAATGTGAGGGTGATCTGGCTATGACATCTATCAACCCGTTGACTGCTAGGGTTGATTCAGCTGGCCTGAATAGCCAGTCAGATATCTCCTTCCTCTTTCAACACTCTGTGTGGATCCCACTCAAAACTTCCCCAGATAGAGAAATTAATTGTTTTCAGTGAAGGGTATAGAAGTAGCTTTGCTCCCCCACTGGAACCTCCAAATAAATAAATTCTCAAGCTCCATTCTAACTTTTCATAATTCACTCATTTATTCCTCTCACAGGCAGGCTCTTGCTGCAGGCCCAACTTTCTGTATAGTGCTGTTTGTCTGTCTCTCTCATACTCATTTATTGGCTGTATCAGTCAGAATTACAATCTTGTTTTTTATATACCTTTGCTTGAATTCTATTCCTGGCTCATAGTAATTGGGAATAATATGTGAAGTACATATGTACTTTTTTGCATTTTAATATTACTAATAATTTTAAATAAATAAGAACATGCTCTTCTGGATGGAAGTGTATATCTGAGGCTGGAGCTATGCAAAGCTGAACTAGTTTATATCATAAGTCACTTAGCATAAAATCTTTCTGACATACTTTAAGGTCAAAATATTCAAGTATAATTTATATATAAAATAAAATGTACATTTTGAAAATTGAGCAGCGGCTGGGCGGTGGTGGCGCACACCTTTAATCCCAGCACTCGGGACACAGAGGCAGGTGAATCCCTGTGAGTTTGCTACAATGAATTACTTCAGTACTTTAAACAAATTATGGCCTCATGTAATCTTTTATAATGAAATCTTTAAAAAAAGAAAAAAAATCATTGAGCACCCCTGGGGGTGTCTGAAGCCAGCCAGCACTCAGGAGACAGGTGGATCTTTGTGAGTTCAAGGCCAGTCTGGTCTACAGCGTGAGTTCCAGGACAGACAGGACTACACAGAGAAACCCTATCTCAAAAAGCTCCCCCAAACCAAAACAACAAAAACAAAAAACCCCAACAAACAAACAAACCATCAGTCAATCAATCGATCAGGGTATGAAGGCACACACCTTTAATTCCAGCACTCCTAGGCATAGCCATGCAGATCTCTATGAATCCAAGGTGAGCCAGGTCTTCATAGATAACCCCCCCAAAACAACAACAACAAATAATAATAAAATCAACTGATTGGGTTGGAGGGATGGCTCCGTGGTTAAGAGCACTGGCTGCTCTTCTAAAGTGTCCAGGTTCAATTCCCAACACCAAGGGTGGCCCACAATAATCTGTAACTCTTGTTTCAGGGGATCAAACATCCTTTTTTGGCCTCTTTGAGTACACAGGTACACAAATAGATACGCAGGCAAAAAAAGTCCCATGTACATAAACTCTTGTACAAGCGCATCCCTTTGTGGGCTGTGCTCTGCCCATCAAATACACAGCACTAACTAGTGCAGCTTTGTAAGTAAGCTGGGAACCCGTGTAGTTAGGTCCTGCGCTCTTTTCTAACAACTCAGCTCATCTAGTTCTTCGTATTTTTATAAATCTGTCCATCCATTTCTGTAAAAATTTGCTCTGATTTCTGTTTGGACTGAAATGAACAACATGGGGCTAGAGAGATAGTTCAGAGGTTAAGAGCACTGGCTGCTCTTCCAGAGGATGGGAGTTCAATTCCCAGCAATCATATGGTGGCTCACAACCGTTCATAATGAGATTTGGTACCCTCTTCTGCCTGCAGGCATACATGCAGGCAGAACACTATACATAATAAACAAACAAACAAGCAAGCAAACAAACAAACAAATAAAATAAAAACAAACAGATTATACACCTCCATCTATTTAAGTCTTAAGAATATTTAAGAATATTTAATTTCAATGATACCCCGACTGGAATAAATGCTACATCCTGTCCCAAATCATGGGACTTCTACTTGGGAAGCTCTTACAATGTCTTTTTAAAAGTAGGAAACTTGCCAGGTAGTGATGGTGCATGCCTTTAATTCTACTTGGGAAGCAGAGACAGGTGGATTTCTGTGAGTTCAAGGTCAGCCTGGTTTACAGAGCGAATACCAGAACAGAGTCCAAAGTTACACAAAGAAACCCTGTTTGGAAAAACCAAAAAAGAAGCAATCTACTTCAAAAAATTTTAAGAATATCAATTAATTAATAATTCAATAACTAATAATTTTTGGTATATAAAATTTGCAATGTACATATTTGCCTAAGATTATTTCAAACATATTTCATGCTTTTTGATATTACTTCAAATGATAGTATTTCTTAACTTTCAGTTTCTAGACATGTTGCCATGGTATATAAAATCAGTAAAACTTAAATCATGATTATGAATTCTGAAAACTGACAAGCATTGGTTGCAGTAAGCTTATTTGTACCAATCTTGGGTTTTTTTTTCCATAATCATATTATCTGCATACAGCTATCCCTACTCTCACCTTTGCAATTCTATCACAGATTACTTTAGACCTATTAAACAGTTAAAAGACCTACCCAAAAATGTAGTGTTGTGATTAGGAGGACTGCCTCAGTATGTTCTTCTCCATCCCTGAAGCCGATTATCTGCATCCATCCATCTGATTGTTCGTCTGTCAGTCTGTCCGCCTGCCTGCCCACCCATTCATCAGAATTATCTGTAACCTTTTTTAGACCTAAACGTTTTTTAGACCTATACTTCCCTCAGCCAATTAGCTTAAACTTAACTCTCATATTTTAGTTGGCTACTAAGACGCCCACTTACCCATGATGTCACATCTGTATTCATATACCATTTACATTTATAAAATGCTTTTAGCTTACCAATAAAGGTAGTCCAGATCCACTACCAGAGCTTTGTGATTGGTCAATCAGGTCTTTCAAGGATTCTCCTACTGGAATAAATGCTTCATCCTGTTCCAAATCACGGTTGTAACGGCCTCTGCTTGAGATGCTCTTACAGTAATGTCTTTAAAAAAAAAGTTGGAAGCAATCTACATTAAAATTGGAACACTCTGATACTCTGAGCCTTGAGATCTAACATCATTTCTTCAGGCAGAATCATGACCTAATAAATCTTTACCACAGGAAAAAAAATTCTGTTATAATTCACTAGAAATGGGAATTAGAGGTAGAATGCTGTGTATCATGCTAACATTAAGAGATAGTCACAGTCTATTAGCACGAGAACACATGTACAAGAGAGTGTGGTGGCATACATCCTTCACTTGGAAGGCATAAGGAATGGGAGTTTAAGGTAGCTTGGGCTAAAGAGCCAAGCTTGGACTATAAAGTGAGGTCTTGTTTAAAAAATATCAACACATATACCTTCCCCACACCCAAAAAGGCCAGACGTGGTAGCACTAGGAAGAGTCAGGCAAGAGGATGCTGAATTCAAAGGCAACCTAAGCTGCATGGTGAAACTCTATCCCCAAAAGCAAAGGTAAACAAAACCCCCAAATGATTGCCTTCCCTCAGCATGTAACATGGCATCACAGCTGTAAAAAACTATAAATTTTAACAATGTTTTTAAAAAATATGAAAGGATATTCAGCACAAAAAGTTACTAATCACACAAACACATATACTCTTAAAACTATAACTGTATCTTTGTGCTCAAACTGTATGTGCCCTTAAACCCAGCACTGGAGTGATATGGGCAGGTTGAGCTCAATGAGTTCAATGCCAGCCAGGTCTACATAACAAGCTCTAGGACAGTAAAGGCTATAATCTGCACTTTTCCAGCTGCACGGACATTTTCCTTTGGTGCTAGACTGTTAAGATCATGGGCTGCTCTTTCAGAGGACCTGAGTTCAAATCCCAGCAGTCATTTGGTGGCAAACAACCTTTTTGGCCTCCAAGGACACTGCACACATGTGGGGTACTGACATACATGAAAGCAGAACACTCATACACATAAAACAAAAATAAAAAAAATTTTTAAAAAATTAACTTTTTTATAACCAATTTTGAGAAATGTGCTTTGTATTTCTCTTCATATTTTTGGTATCTTTACGAGCTTACTAAAACTTTTAGATTAATAATTTTCTGGTTTTCATTTAAAGCTGAAAAATCCCAGCCAGGCAGTGGTCCTGCACACCTTTAATCCTAGCACTCAGGAGGCAGAGGGAGGCAAATCTACATGAGTTTGAGGCCAGCCTGGTTTACAAATAAGAGTTCTAGGACAGTCAGGTTTACAGAGCAACTTTCAAGACAGGCTCCAAAATAAAACAAAACCAAACCACACATACACACACAAAGAGAGAGGAAAATCCCTGGTCATTATTTTTTTGTAATGTATATATTTATTATGTATACAATGTTCCATCTGTGTGTATGCCTGCAGGCCAGAAGAGGGCACCAGACCCCATTACATGTGGTTGCTGGCAATTGAACTCAGGACATTTGGAAGAGCAGGCAATGCTCTTATCCTCTGACCCATCTCTCCAGCCCTGGTCATTATTTCTTAAACATTTTTCTTCTTGTCCCTTTCCGTCCACCGAGGATTCTGATTATAACTATACTGGATCATGTCTCATACAAAATTCTTTCAGAGCTGAGGAAACAATGTGCAAAGCACTTGCCATGCAAGTGTGAAGACACAAGTTCAAATCCTCAGAACACATACAAAGTTGGGTGATGCTGTATCTGTATGTAATTTTAGTGTCCACACATGGAGATGGGAAGCAGAGACAGAGGAACTCCAGGAATCTCATGGGCCAGCTAGCTTGTAGCTGCACAGCTGTGCACAGCACTGAACAGAGACACGAAGTTTCCACAAGCATGTTGCAGCACATGCACACACACGAATTCTTTCAAACAGCTTCTACTCTCATGCTTCCATGTCCACTTAGCTCTTAAGTGAAATCTAATTTGCCATTTTCTTACCCATTCACAATGACATTCAAGGTATTTTAATCTAATTCCCTCAAGTTTCATTTGGATCTTTTTAAAAAGTCCTCCCACGTTTCTACTTAAATTACTGTAATACCACTTGATCTACAAAGTGTGTTCCAGGACAGCCAGGGCTGTCTTGTCTCAAACAAACAAACAAACAAACAAACAAACAGTAACTACAACAAAAAAGTCAAATACTGTTTTTTGTTTGTTTGTGTAACCCAGGCTGGTGCTGAACCTGTGAGTTGAGAATGACCTTTAACTCCTAAACCTTCTGCTTCTATCACTTGAGTGTGGGAATAACAGATGTATTCTTTTTTCTTTATTGGGGGGGAGTGTCTGGGACAGGGTCTCTCTCTTTAACAGCTCTAACTGTCCTGTAACTCACAGAGATCTGCTTGATTCTGTCTTCCAAGTGCTGGGATTAAAGGCCTGCACCACCAACCACCCAGCAATAGATGTATTCTTACAAATATTATTGTATTATTTTTCCCAGAACAAAACTGAAAACAGCATGAATCTTCAGGGTTTTGGTTTGTTTTTGATTTTAAAGACAGGCCCTCAGTATGTATACCAGCTGGCCTCAAACTCAGAGGTCCATCTACTTCCTGCCTCCTGAGTGCTGGAACTAAAGACTGTGTTCCACCATGTCCAGTTTGGTCTTGTTTTAAAGGTGTGACCAGAGCAAAATTTACTCCAGAACTAATTAATTATTCTCTGTGTCTGAAGCAAGACCTACAATTTTAAACAAGACCTATGGTTTCCTAGTCTCAAAGATAGTGGCTAACAGAGACCATTCCCAGCTTTCTGTGACCACCAACACTATTTCCTCCAGCCATTTTTTGTTCTTCCCAGCCTTGGGTAGTATTTTGTATGAATATGCTGAATACTGATTAGGGTTATCTGCAGAACTCAAGTCTTCCTATGAAGTTTTCTGTTGTGGAATATTTGTTTAACCATGCAAAGATGTGTTGCATTTAATTATGCAAAGATGTGTTACTGTTTTATCTTGCCTGTCTAATGATGTGGGAAGTCCTTCTGTATTTGTGTTGCTTTTATTGGTTAATGAATAAAAAAACTGCTTTGACCCGTGATAGGGCAAAGTAGAGCTTGGGGGGGGGGACTAAACTGAATGCTGGGAGAAAGAAGGTGGAGTCAAGAGAAGCCATGTAGCTGCCAGGTGCAGACACTTCTGCTGGAGTCTGCCAAAACTTTGCCAGTAGGCCATGACCTCATGGTGATGCACTGATTAATGGAGATGGGTTAGTTTAGGATATAAGAGCAAGCTAGAAATACACTTAAGTGATTGGCCAAGTAGTGATTTAAATAATGTAGTTTCTGTATGAATATTTTGAGAGTCTGGGCAGCCAGGAAATAAATGAACAGCCTTCAAAAACAGTGTAAGGCACCTGATTGGTCTAATAAAAAGCTGACCAGCCAATAGTGAGTGAGGAGGTATAGGTGAACTTCCAGGCAGGGAGAATTAAGTGGGAGGAGGAATTTAGGTTCCAGAAATGAAAAAGAAAAGAAAGACCCCAGGGATCAGAAAGACAGACACAAAGGAAGCAGGAGAGTAGGACACACATAATGAAAAAAAGTAAAAAGCCACAAGGCAAAACATACATGAGTAGAAACATGGTAAATTAAGTTAAAAGAAGTAAGTCTAAGTTAAGGCTGAGCATTAAAAATTAATAGTAAGAATCTGTGTCTTTATTTGGGAGCTGGTTGGTGGTCTAAAGAAAATTCCAACTACAGTTTTCTATTTTTCTGGTTACCTGCCCCATGAATAGCTGATGGCATCTCCCCAGACGCTCACCTATATTTTCTCATCAGAGAATATCTACATTCTCTATGTCATAAAGTCAAATACTCTTCAGGCAGAAACACAGGCAATTTTAGTGCTTAATTCTTTGTTTCCCGTTTCTAGGAATCAGTGTTCACTCTGAGAGATTTGCAGGGCTCACTGGTATGTGTTGAATCTGCCTAGGCCATTTCATTTAACTCTAATTAGTATCTGTAGGTCTTTTCTCCCAGGCTGCACAAGTTCCCCTAAGAATCTTGTCTGGTTTATAAGATTTTTAATCTTTAATCTGACAAGTCAAAGTCATTAAATTGGTATTTACATGTTCACCATATCTCTTATTTTCATTATCATGTCTCACCCCATAGTTGATAAATTGTTTTTTTTTTTCTTGTTTCAGAATAAGTTTTTGTTTGTTTTGAAACAGGATCTCATTCTGTAGCCCAAACTGGTCTGGAACTATGCAGTCCAGGCTGATAGGTTCAATCTGCTACTTATATCTAAAGAAATAAATATCTACATAATGTGAGGGGCTAGTGTAATGATGCTATCTGAAGAACTACAGAGGCGGGTGACTGGGAGAAGTTCACTGGCTTCTACCCTGGCATATGCACCCATAGTCTTACTTCATTTCATCTACCCACATGGCAGATAAAAAATACCTCACATTTTATAATTTTCATCATATATTTCATACTCTTTTTTTGCTCCCCCCACAACCAGGGTTTCTGTGTATAACAGCCCTGGCTGTACTGGAACTCACTTTGTAGACCAGGCTGGTCTGGAACTCAGGGATCCAACTGCCTCTGCCTCCCACATGCTGGGATTAAAGCTGAGTGTCACCATTACCGAGCTAGGAATATTCTTGTTAGTTTCTTTTTCAAGAGTCATACAGCTGAGAATGGAGGTATACAGTTTTAATTCTAAAGCTTGAGAGGCAGATGATCTCCATGAGTTCTAAACCAACGTGGTCTACATAGCAAATTCAAAGCTAGGCAGGGTCACATCATGAGACTGTCTTAAAAAACAGAAAACCATGCATATTTCTTTTTAAAACTGTATCTATTTTTGTCTATTTCTTCAATGAATTATGCCTTTTAGTTTATATAGAAGCTCTTTTTATATGTGTAAAACAATCACCTGCAGTAAGTATTAGCTTTTGGTATTTTTCATTTGTTCCATCTTTCTTTTTTTATTATTTATTTATTTATTATACAATATTCTGTCTGTGTGTATGTTTGCAGGCCAGAAGAGGGCACCAGACCTCATTACAGATGGTTATGAGCCACCATGTGGTTGCCGGGAATTGAACTCAGGACCTTTGGAAGAGCAGGCAATGCTCTTAACCACTGAGCCATCTCTCCAGCCCCCATCTTTCTTTTTTTTTCTGCATACTTCCACTTTTATGGAGCTGACACTACTTTTTATACTGTGTTTACTTCATTGGTTGCTTCTAAGCTCAGGTAGACTCAGAAAGGTTTTCCAAACTATGCATATGAAGATACAGTTCTAATTTAATCTGGTTCAAATTTATAGTGTAGGGAAACATCCTAATTACATTTTTTCTATATATCAACCCAGTTTCAAATCTAGTTACTAAATTTATCTCTTCTCTCTCTCTCTCTCTCTCTCTCTTTCTTTCTTTCTTTCTTCCTTTCTTTTTTAAATTTATACCTCAGTGCTTCGGATAGAACCCAAGTCCTCCTGTATGTTAGGCATTGTTAAATTCCTTATATACAAATTTATTTATGGGGTTACTAACCTGTTTCACAGATAATACCCCAAATTTTTAAACTAGACAGTTTACATTATCTAGGAATCTGTTTTTAGAATTCAGACATAACATAGCTCACTATTCTATAAACAAGAATGCCTGAGTACTCCTGAACATAAATGAATGAAGTAATAGCCAAAAAAATTAGTGGAATTAAGTTCATCTTTCCTTCCAAGGAAGTCGTAACAGTTGAAAAGCTGTTATCAGAGAATATAAATTAATGATTTCTGAATTGCACACAACAGTGTTTTTTAATTTGTGAGCTTAAAAACAAAACAAAAAGATTGCTAATACAGAGTTAAGTTCATCTTTTCTTCCAAGGAAGTCGTTAACAGTTGAAAAGCTGTTATCAGAGAATACAAATTAATGATTTCTGAATTGCACACAACAGTGTTTTTTAACTTGTTAGTTTAAAAACAAAAAGATTGCTAATATAGAATAATTGACAATTTTATGTTTTACATAAAAATAAGTATCTTCTTACTTGTAACAAAAGCAGCTGGAGAAGATGATCATCGCGACTATACAGACAGCCATGGAAATGAGCACAACCAGCCATCGAATGCTGCCATCAAAAAATGGACCTGAGGATGGAAGTCAACAATGAAGCAAGTATAGCATCTTTCTGCTGCATCTTATGAAGGAGGAGAGAGTCACTTAGAGGACTGAGTTCTAGCTAGCTTAGTTATTGTTAAGGACAAAGAAAAGAAATTACAGAGAATCATGCCTGACCTACCTATAATCACAGGAGGCAGTGTAGGCTGCAAATATTGGTTGCATAAATTGGTCCGACAACATTCTATTGTCCTGCGTAGCTGGGCTTTTGGTGAATCCTTTAAGAAAAGTAATGGTAAAATTAAAGTACTTGACATATTAAACTGAACACAGACATCTTTAGTATTGGTAAATATAATTTATAATTCAGTCAGAGAAAAGCTCACCAACCCTAAGTTAAAAAAAATATTAGCTTGGCTGGGCAGTGGTGGCGCATGCCTTTAATCCCAGAACTCAGGAGGCAGAGACAGGCAGATATCTGTGAGTTCAAGGCCAGTCTGGTCTACAGAGTGAGTTCCAGGAAAGGCTCCAAATGCTACAAAGAAACCCTGTCTCAACCCCCACCACACAAAATTAGTTGGGTGTGATGGCTCACAGAACTTTGGGAAACTCAGAGGGCAGAAGGCAGGAGGCAGGAAGATCTCTGTGAGTTTAAAGGCATCTTGGTCTATAAATCGAGTTCTAGGACAGTTAGGGCTGTTATACAGAGAAACCCTGTCTCCAAAAACAACAACAAAAATATTACTGAAAATTTAATTTTTTGGTGAAAATAAGATTGTGAGATAATTTTCCTTAAGATTATATAGGTAAAGACACTAGATTATAAATTACAGAGGAAAAAAAAATTTTAATGGTCTTTATGTTAAATGTTGGTATGTTTAAATTATCATTCAGCTAGCTGCTTTTAGCTTTAAAAATTATCTGCTAGAAAACTGGTGTAGGAGGTTCTTCTGTCTATGTGTTACTTTCATTGGTTGAATAAAGAAACTGCCTTGGCCTTTTCATAGGGCAGAACTTAGATAGGTGGAGTAGACCAAACTGAATGCTGGGAATAAGGGCAGTGTAGCAGACACCACGATTCTCCTGCCCGAGACGGATGCTGGTTAGATTCATGCCGGTAAGCCACAGTCAAGTGACTCTGCTTTCTTCCTCCCAGAATTCAGTTCTGTCTCCCCGCCTACCTAAATTCTGCCCTATCACCAGGCCCAAAGCAGTTTCTTTATTAACCAATAAAAGGAAGAAAGCAGAGTCAAAGTGAGAGTGTCACCATGGAGACACCAGGTCAGACATGCTAAATCTTTCCCGGTAAGCCACAAGGTGAACACAGATTAATAGAAATGGGTTAAATCAAGATATGAGAGTTAGTCAATAGGAGGCTAGAGCTAATAGCCAAGCCGTGTTTTAATTAATACAGTTTCTGTGTGATTATTTCAGGTGTAAGCTAGCTGGGAGGCCGGAACAAGGGACCCCACCCCCTGTAACAGTGAGCCACTATGTGGGTGCTGAGAATTGAACTCAGGATCTCTGGAAGAGCAGCCTGTGCTCTGAACCACTGAGCCATCTCTCCAGCCCCTAATTATCATACTTTTAAACATATAAATGAACAAATGCTTCCTTTTTTTGTTGTTCTTTGTTGTTGTTCTTTTTCAAGACAGGGCTTCTCTGAAAATTCACTCTGTTGTAGACCTGGCTAGCCTTGAGCTCTCAGAGATCCACCTGCCTCTGCCACCTGAGTGCTGGGATTAAAGGCGTGCACCACCACTGCCTGGCTCAAATATGAACAAATACAAATACAAAAAGCAACAAAACTATTCCATCCCCATCCACTTGTATCAAAGGATCAACGTTACTAGGAAGAGTGAAGGAGCTGTGGCATGGAAGCAGAGTGGGTCAAAGACATAAGGGTTTAGTTGGCAAAAGTTCAATGTCTTGAGAATACAGCACAACTTCCAAAGCACATGTGGCTGCATTCAGAAAAAGAAAAAGGCAGGTTAGTGAATAATAGAACTAACTAAATAAGGGGCGGTTGATACTATGAGCTATTTCTTTAGAGGCTGAGAAGACGTGTGGAGGAAGTAGTACGGAAACAATTCTGCCTGCATACTAAAAGGCTGTGATTTTGAGAAGTCAGGTCTTTTTGTGCAACCAGAGATGGGGGAAGAAACTCAGTCACTTGCCCAGTGACTTCAAGTACAAACCTATCACTGAAGTTTTCTATGAATCCAACCAGTTCTGAACAGAATTAATTTGTAGACAAAGCTGACATTATATACTGTTCTATACAGAGCTGTTTTTGAAAAACACTGGCAGGATCTCTTAAAACAATTCACATATACAATTAGAAAAATCTGAAGGAATCCTCTCTGCTGCTGCTCTTTTCAAACAGCTGCACAGAAACCTTGTATTTATTCTCTTCTACTTCTGTGATCAAATACCATGACCAAAAAACTCACAGAGCACTGAGTTCATTTTGGTTAGCGGATCTAGAGAATTAAGAGTATATGATGGGGGGCTGGAGAGATAGCCCAGTGGTTGAGAGCACTGGCTGTTCTTCCAGAGGACCCGGGTTCAAGTCCCAGCACCCATATGGCAGCTCACACCTGTCTGTAACTCCAGTTCCAGGAGATCTGATGCCAATGTACATAAAGTTAAATAAATGTTAAAAAAAAAAGAGTATATGATGGTAGAGCAAAGGCATGGCAGCAAAAGCAGAAACTAAGCGCCCACATCTCAAATGGCAAGAAGAAAGCAGAGAGAACTAGCAGAATGTGAAGTTTTATATTCTTTTGTTTTTCAAGACAGGGTTCCTCTGTGTAATCCTAGCTGTCCTAGAAATTACTCTGTAGACCAGGTTGGCCTCAAACTCACAGATGAGGTTTTATACTTTTAAAGCCTGCCTTCAGTGACACACTTCATCCAACAAAGTCACATGCCTTATGTTCTCCCAAACAGTACAGACAACTGGGAATCAAGTATTCAAATGCCTGAGACTATGCAAGACATTTTATTCAAATCACCACAAGAATTCAATATTGTTGTCTTGGGGGGAAAAGGTTACTATCCATTATTTTAAAATCTTCTCAGTAAACTTTACACTCCAGAAATAAATGTGACTATCATTTTTCTGCATTAAAACTTTCTTAAAGTAAAGCAATCCGGTACTTGAATTAGGAAAATCCTATTACTTAACAAGTCAGGCTTTCTTCAGCAAATCTGTTTTGTGAGCATGCAGTAGTATGAAGAGCAGTCCACTTGTGCTAGAGGACTCCATGCTGTTCACCAAGTGGTACCCTTCTTTATTTCATGGTGACAATTAGATCTCACCTTGCACTGAAAATCAGAGCCTTCATACTTCATACACCCAGAAGCTAATGTGGTTTCTCCCTGATCATCTTCTTCTATAATGGCAAAGCAATGCCCATTAGTTCTACAATAGAGAAAAAAAATACAACTCCATATTAGAAAGAACAGGGTATGGTTGGTGCACATCCAGAATACATTCAGGCTAAAGCAGGTGGATCTTGCATTTCAGGTCACCCTGACCTAAATAGAGAGATTTTAATAAAGAATGCCAGAGAGACAGCTAAGTGGTTAAGGGCACTGTCACCGAGCCTGATGACTGAGTTTGATCTCCAGCATCCACATGGTGGAGGAAATAACTAATTCTGGCAAGTTGACATGTGCACATGTGTACAATACACATACATACCAAATAAATATAAAAAATTTTTAAAAGACTCACAAAAGAACTGAAGATATGTGAAATGAATATGTCTTTCAGTACCTTGGGGTTTTTTTTGCATTTAAACTGCATTGTTACATGATTTATTAGCAAAATCAATTTAGAAATAAGCCAAATCAAGGGTGGTGTGCTTTAACTACGGCTTAAAGGGGCAATGAGAACTCTATGTCAAGTAGGAAGGGAGTTCTACAAAATAAATGCTCTATGTGTATGCTGTTATAAACTGCTCTGCTAGTCACACTCACGACCACATCCTACATATACATGGTGACAAATGAAAACAAGCTCTTCTGTGCAACATTCGGCAGCCCCCAATAACACAGTATGTGTCTTAGGAAAAGCAGACAACTAAGATTCTAAAAGGTTCGTTGTAGTGAATGTGACAGGAAAACAGAAACAGTCTCAATAGTTTCATTTAAAAAAAGTTTACATATATTTTAGTTTCATGACGTTCTACCAGTTTAATGTCAGTGTCCTTGAATTTTTTCCTTAGCAAATGTAGAAATGAAAATAATATAATTTCACAGATCAAGTTCTAGGCATTGTCTAGTCTATACAAAGAGCACAGAATGTTAGTGAACTACAAAACTTGGCCTTCATTATTACTTCTACAACAAAAAGACAATTAATTGACTGATGAAACGGAATTACACTTTATATTTTTGTTTTCTCGTGGGGGGAGGGGAGTGTGATTCAGAAAGTCAATTCTTCAATGTGCCCTCAAGATATAGACTATGGGCCAGAGGATGATTGAGCAGGTAGAAGTGCCTGCTGCCTAGACTGACAATCTGAGATCCATTCTTGGAACCCACATAGAAAAAGAGAGAAGAGACTACTGCAAATTGTTCTCTGATCTCTTCAAGTACATCTACACATATTATGAATACACAATATATGTGTGTGTGTTTAAAAAATATGTACTCCAGTTACACGACCATCCATAAGTGGATTGAAAGGTTAACATTGAATGGTTAACATAAAACTAAGTAGGAAATGAAAAGTCATATAAAACAGATGTGGACTAAAAAGTCCACAGAGAAATAACAAAACTGTCACAACACCTTTCCTGTACACCTATGCACTACGACAACTGGCTAAGGAGACGCTGGGTAAACTTTTTATTTTCTTTTTGTTAATCCACAAAACAGAAAACGTTTTCTACAATCAGCAACATTAAGTTCATGATTAAAAAGGTCACGAAAGAAAAGAAAAATAAGGCAGGCATGGTGCTACATGCCTTTAATACCAGTACGAGGTAGTAAGTAGATGCAGGTGGATCTCTGTGAGTTTAAGGCCAGCCTGGTTTACATAGTGAGTTCCAGGATAGTCAGATCTATGTAAAGAGACCCTGTTTCAAAAATCAAAACAAATAAATCAGCTGTATCATGATATGATTAATGATCATCAATTGTTTAATGATAGGTAACAATATTTCTATATTTAAACCAGGAATTTTCTTTTTCTTTGTAAAGCTACCATATACAAATGGGGGGAAAGCTTGTTCGAGTATACTTTTCATCTAACTCTTAAGGACTGAACCAAATACTTACATGCATGTGTTATTAATAGCATCATCTGGGCAGTGTCCTGAGCAATAGCACTTTAAGAAAGGTAAGGTATCCTCTGGTGCTAACGTCACTCCATTGTCTGGCTTCTTCTGGTCCAAGTCTGATTTCACACCAGTGCCATGGAGCATACTGTCTAGATTCTGCCCTGTATTAAAAAATGAAATTTGTAAATAATCATTCTTGGAAAGTTGTTGAATTAGAGTCTTCAATAAAAAAAGCTTCTGAGTTTTCTTATCATCATACTAACAGGAGTTAATACATCTTAAAATAAATTTGATAATACCAATTTATAAATTATTATATACAGAATTACCAGATGCAGCAGGATGTAAGGAGATTGCCCAGTTACAAGTTGTATACCAATGAAAGACACACAAATGACAAAAGATCTGTGGTTCTGAGACAGAGCAGAAGAACTCTCTCCGTAAAGGTACTTAGCTAAGGGCTAAGCACTGGTAAACACTTTTGAGAATGTTAATTCCAGGACAGATCCCTACTATAAGGGCCCTTTAGTTTTAATTTTTCTTTAAATAAGCTAAACTATTTGAAACAGCCAACTGGCCATCTGATTAACAACTGTAGGCCCCTCCCTGGTCCTGGTCGCCCTGAGTGAGGAGCTGTCAAATAAGCAGCCCTCCTTCCTAACTAGCAGTGCCGTCACTGTGACAGAGCAGCTGTTTTGAACACCCCAGGGACTTCTCTGAGGAAACTCCATAGCAGCTGCAGGTACCACTGGAACCACGGCTACTGCCGAAGTCACAACCCAGCTTCAGGAGCCCTCACCCTCACAAGTGCTCCAGGCTCCTTTATCTTGTAGGCATTCATAAAGAACTTAAAAAAAATAAAAATAAAAACAAAAAAGCTACTCCTAAGTTTTGAACCAAAATCAAAATTAAGAGTTAGGAGGTGGCAAAGAGTTCCACAGTGGCCAGAGGCAGACCCCAGAGACTCTGAAGGACTGCAGACACACTGAGCTGGTGAGAAAGCATGAAAAGCTAAGTTAGGGATCCTAGGCAGTCAAAGAGTTCCTGAAAGCATCCAACGGTTAAGAGCCAGGGGATCAAATGTCTTAAGCTAGAAGTCTACAATACTAGCTGCTGAGGACTAGTTTTCAAGGCTCAGAATGCGTTCTGATCTGAGTATCAAGAGCATTAAGAGTCTAATTCTCAAAGTCTGGAATCTGAAGTCTCCTCTGAAAACCTGACCCATAAGCCCATGGAACTAAGGAGTACAGAGGTGCCAACACTCAGGAATCTGCCCCTGCCATATTTGTGACACTCATGCAATGGGACCTCCAGCCTGCTGTTGACAGTTACAATTTACTAGGTAGAAAATGGGGAGAGATTTCAGGAAAGACTGAGAAAATTTCTAATGATTTCAGAAAGGGGGGGGGGCGCAAAACTCCTCTAATTTTTTGGTTCAAACTTGTAACTATATTTTAAAAATTCTTTTTGAAAGTTTCTCTGAAAATGGAGCTACAAAGCACCTTACAGAGAACTCTAACTGCCTAAGTAAGGGAACTGTGAAAACATGAAACAAACCCTGTTTTCTGCCTTTCATCCCAGAGTAACTGGTTTGAATCCAAACTATGCTATAGAAAGCAAAAGTTGCCAAAAGCTTATATAATAAAATAAGGATCTTGCATTATAGAGTTTCTGGCATCAAATGACAGGTAACAATATACACAGCTCTGAATTTTGTAGGTGAAATCACCTGGCCCTTCCAAAAGAAAGAATGGTAGAGTCAAAAGGATTAGATAAGCAAGAATTTCACTATAAAAATGAAGTGGTTCAGTACTAAACTCAATTTTAAATTTAACAATACTGATAAACTACAAAAATGAGGAAAATAACACATACATACACACTGACAGCAAGAAAGCATAATGTAAGAGTTAGAAATTCCGTAACTTGGATTATTATTGCTTCTTTGCTTTCTGAGACTGGGTTTCTCTGTGTAGCCATGGCTGTCCTAGAAGTCACTCTAGATTAGGCTGTCCTTCAAGTAAGAGATCTGCCTGCCTCTGCCTCCCCAGTGTTGGAATCAAAGTTGTTCACCATGACCGTGCGACCATAACTTGAATAGCAATGACCTTAAGTTTCTCATACTTAATATTCAGGAAAGAAATTTACTTCTGAATAAGTAGTTGTTAATAGAAACAAATACTGAAAAGGAATATCTGTAGGCCCATATTTCTATATGGTATGGCAGCTGGCTCTAAAGCCATAGACTACGTCTGAGATGGTCACATAACCTTTCAGGTGGGGTATTGACCTAACCTAACAAAAAGTCAGGATGTTGTTGCTCCTTTCTTTGTAATTTGGAGGATGCCTGATAGAGATGCTAATTCAAGCCTATGTGTCAGTCAGCATACACAGCAGACAGGTGGTTGTGGATGTGACTAAAAGCCATTCACCTGGTTACCTAGGAGACAGAATGCTAATGTATTTATCCCTTAGTTGATGTTTTGATATATAAGGCTGTTTGGAGAATAAAGCAGGAGGAATTCTCTAGCATGTAAACTCTGGACTTCATGAGTGACCACTGAGAATCTCCCTCCCAAAAAAGCCATGTGAGTTGTGTCTTTATTCCCGCGCCTCCATGCAGGTCCAGAGAGATAGTTTATGTTGGGGTCTGGTCAAGAGACTTAATTTATTGTCCAGGCTAGCACCGGACCTCAACATAATGGTGCCCAACGTGGGGTGGATCTACGAACCCCAAAAACAAAAAATAAGTGACCAGACATGAGGAACCCACGAGAGAAAATTTCACCACAGCTGGATATGTGAGTATTGAGCGCTCAAAAACAGAGATCAGAAGTTAAAGAAATGTAGAGAAGCAGGACAAAATTTAAATCGGGAGTAAAAATTTGTAAATAAGTATATATATGGGATAAGGAAAAAGTATTCAGTTATATATGTAGGCAAAGGAAGTTAGAGTGGAGCAGAAACAAAGGCAGAGATATTTAAAATCTGTAAGCATGATAGACGTGGAGATACAACTTTTACTGCTTGCTAAATGGGTAGGAAAAGTAAAGAAAAAACAGCTTTTGGCCCAAGAATCGCCTTGGTTACTGCTGAGATTGAGGCGCCATGTGCTGGCTAGCTGAATCTAACCCACCTGCGGGTAAAAGGCAAGCAGGAGACAGAGTAAGTTTAGAGAACAAATTTAACCTCACGCACTCAGTACCACAGAGTCAGTTCATAAAACAGTGGAGACCAACAAATATCCTTCAAAGGTAAGATCTGTCTATGTTATGTGTCCCTCAGCCCCTCACCATGACGTCCTTTCAGACGGAAGTACTGTTAACACAGTGGCAAAGCTTCTGATGATCCTCCAAATGGCTACAAAATGAAAAAAGCCTCATTTATTTTAACAACATCAACTGTAAAAGATGGGGAAGAATGGTAGGGTATGAGAAGGGAGAAATCTGCAGGCTACAAATGAGAGACATTCTGGTCTTTTGTGAGTTTCCTAATTAGGTAGGTGAATAATCTTTATAAACTTATTTAAGTATTCACTTATTTAAGAAGGCAGTAGGGTTGGGAGGTGGTGGTGTACACCTTTAATCCCAGCACTCGGGACACCAAAGCAGAGGCAGGTGGATCTCTGTGAGTTCGAGGCCAGCCTGGTCTACAAGAGCTAGTTCCAGGACAAGCTCCAAAGCTACAGAGAAACCCTGTCTCAATAAACAAAACAAAAGGGGGGGGGGGCAATAGGACTCAAGGTTTTAAAATCCTGATATAGTTAACAATAACAAAACAAAAAAAGCATCAATTTAACCATAGAGGACAAACGTGTGTGGTGTAATCCAGATTTGGGTGACACACCTGTAATTCCAATCCTTGGGAGGCTGAGACAGGAGTTTTAGGCCAGCCTATGCTATAGTATAACAAACACCTTGCCTCTTACAGAACATCAACAACAACAAATATAGTAAACAAGATGTTGCCCATAGTGATGTGGGGGCAAACACTTATAATCACAGCATTCATAAAGCAGAAATTATCTGCAAAATTTTTTCAAATGACACATAAAAAAGTTTTGATCTTTAGCACACAAAAGTGTTAATTCTTTGTGTGGCTGATTTGTTTTTTGTTTTGTTTTTTAGACAGTCTTACATTCAGCGCTGGTTGTTCTAGATCATACTACAGGGACTAAAGGTGTGTGCTAACACTCCTGACTAGAAGTGTAAATCATGTGAGGTCATTCCACTCAATATAAGTTTACTACGGAACAACTTGAGTTCAAGGAACTAAACATCAACAAAGAAAATATTCCAACTAAAAAATGTGATATACAGATCTAAATAGAATTCTCAATAGTTGAATCTCAAATGGCCAAACAACATTTAAAGAAATGTTCAACATCCCTAGCCATCAAAGAAATGCAAATCAAAATGACTTCACGATTCCATCTTACACCTGTCAGAATGGCGAAGATCAAAGACACAAGTGATACTTCATGCTGAAAAGGATGCGGAGCAAGGGAATGCTCCTCCACTGCTGGTGGGAGTGCAAACTAGTACAACCACATTGGAAATCAATATGGTGGTTTCTCAGAAAATTTGGAATCCATCTACTTCAAGACTCAGCTATACCACTCCTGGGCATAGTATACCCAAAGGACGTTCCACCCTACCACAAGGACACTTGTTCAACTATGTTCATAGTAGCTTTATTCTTAATAGCCAGAACCTGGAAACAACCTAGATGTCCCTCAACTGAAGAATGGATAAACAAAATACGGTACATTTACACAATGGAATATTACTAAGCTGTTAAAAACAATGACATCATTAAATTTGCTGGCAAATGATGAAACTAGAAAAAAAAAATCATCCTGAGTGAGGTAACCCAGACCCAAAAGACAAACATGGCATGTGAACACTTACAAATGGATATTAAGTATAAAGGATTATTGCGCTACAATCCATAGACCCAGAGGGACTAAGGAACAAGGAGGGCTGAGCGGCAGTGGAGTAGTGTGGGGGTTGTACATGGGAAGAAGAAATAGATTTTTCTGGGTAGACTGGAGTTGGTGGGGATGGGGACAGAAGAGAATGGGTAGCGGGGGTTGAGGGAGAGTACTGGGAGAGATGACTATAACTGAGGTCATTGCACGCATGAGGTAAAAACCCAGTGCAGTGTAAACTCCTAGGCATCTACGAGGGTGACCCTAGTAATGGAGGATATGGAGCCCGACCCAGCCATCTTCTGTAACTAGGCAAGGCTTCCAATGGAGAGTGGATACCAACCCAGTCACAAATGCTTTGACCTACTATTTGCCCCACCTGCAAAATGTGCAAGGGTGTCACACTTTGGGTGTGAGAGGCCAACCAATGACTGATCCAACTTGAGATTCATGTCATAACAGATAGCCCAGATCTGCCACTGCCTGGAGAGTCAGGCCATGTAAACTGAATAATTCAGAGACCGAAAATTAGCATAACCATCATAAGAGAGGGTTCATCCAGAAACTGATGGGAACAGATGCAGAGACCCACAGCCAAAATTAGGCAAGCTCAGGGAACCCTGCAGAAGACAGGGAGGGAAGGATTGTAGAAGCCAGAGGGGTAAAGGCCACCACAAGAAAACAGCCCACAGAATCAACTAAGCAGGGCCATCCGAACTGGCAATCAGGAGGTTGTATGTGTCTGACCTAGGTTCTCTGCGTGTATGTTACGGTTGTGTAGTTTGGTATTCTTGTAGGACTCCCAACAGGCGAAGTGGGGGCTGTTTCAGACTCTTGCCTGCTTTTGGAAACCTGTTACTGGTTGCCTCATTCAGCCTTAATAAAGGGATGTGCCTAGTCTTGTTGTAAGTTGTTATACTATGTTGGGTTGATAGCCAAGGCAGCCTGCTCTTTTATGAAGGAAAAAGAGGAGGAGTAGATCATGGGAAACAGGGAAGTGGCATGGAGGGTGAACTAGGAGGAAAGTAGAGAGAGAACACAGTAGTCAGGGTATAATATATGAGAGAATTAAAGAGATAGAGAGGTGTACCATACTATCTATATATAACCTGAACATCATAAAAGCATTTTGTTTATCAAAATGGAAATTTCCTTGGGTGATACATTATTAATTTATCTTCACAATCATGACAACTCTGGTTCACAGTGATCAGCAAAACCTAACAGAAAGGCACTGTATTATGGATTTTCACATTTCACAGATAAAAGTGGCTTGAGCTGAGGGGGCTCTGTGTTCTGAGCAAAGCAACAATAAGGCAAATACAAAGAAGGTACAGATTTCATTTCATGCTCATGCAATAACACAAAAATTTTAAAAAGCTTAATAATATAATCCAAATTTCCTCATGTGGGTAAAAAGATGACCCTTATTACTCAGTACTACATAGAAAATTATAATTTATAAAACCAAAGTTCAGAAAATGAAGATGGCAGGACAGGGACTGGGATGATGGAAAGCAAATTTAGCCAATTAGAAAGCTCCAGGTTTAGTTGGACACCCTTTCTCAGATGACAATGGGTGGGGAGACACCCAATGCCAACACTGATCAACACAAGTAGGTACACACGCTGTGCACAAACACTAACACACATATATACAAAAATTTAATTATAAAACAGAAAAAAGATGGAGGTGAGATCTACCTTAAAACCTTCTATAAAGCAATGTTAACCTTTCAGTTCAAATTACTGTCCTAATTAAACTACTGGGGGGGTATATGCAAATACAGTTCATATAATAGTAGTAGATATCACTATTAATCTCCAGTTTGATCTATGAAACATGGTACATAACAGAAGCCACATAAACTGCTTAGACGCTACAGAGAAATTTTAGAACTCAGCATAGACAAACAAGTACATTTATTTTCCAAAGTCTTCTTATGAAAATAAAACAAATTTTGAATTATTATTTGTGCTTATTCTTTGTTGTATTTTCAGAGAGACAGGAATTTTAAAGCTCAGTCTCAAGCACCTATAGTTTTGTGCTTTAGGCACTAAACTGCAGACTATTTATACTTAATCTCATCTGATCCTCACTAGACAAACCTCATGCCTGTGTTACCGATAAGAACAAAGGTTCAAAGAGGCTAAGGTTCTTAAAAAGGTGTCTATACAAAGTTCACACTTTCTTTTGGCGTGTTTTTTCTTTGCTTCTTCACTTAAGAGTTGTGCTGGTATGGATGACCTGTTTAAAAAGGAACAGGAACAAAGAGCAGATCAAGGCATTTAAGTGCTTTATATATACAGAAATGACTTATGAAATAAGCATCAATTTACCTTGAACATGAGAAATGATGGACAGACAGGCTCCCAGTAATCTGATGTAAGCATAAAGCTGAGTCATTGTTCAATGTCCACGTATCCTGTACACTGCCACTTTGATTTACTGGTCCTACTATTTCACTAATTTAAATGGCTTTACTGAATGAGATTTCCTTGCAGAAGAACAAAATCACTAAACGATGATTTTCACAAGCTGTTTTTTTCAGATTCCTGGAAAATAAACAAACAAACAAGGCAATGAATATAATAAAATTCTGCAAAGTTTTAGAGGGTGGAGAGGAAAACCAGCTTAACCAGGATTTTAAAGGCAGAAATATATTCTTGAAAATTTTGGTGTGTATTGGGGATCAACTCTAGCGCCTTGCACTGAGCTACAGTCTCAGATCTGTTGAAAGATATTTTTAAAGATTAAAGCTCGACTTTCAAGACACTGCAATTACAATGCTTAAATAATTTAGTACAGAGTTGTAGTCTCTCCTAATCTCAAATCAGCCACAACGAACATACTAAATCTCAACCAACTAGTACAGTGTTGGATACACATTAAGGTCCCTTTACTTGGGAAGCTGACAGGGCAGAGATACCTTAAGTCTGGGAGTTCTAAGACAAGCTGAATAACAGAAAGACAACTCCAACTCTAAAGAAAAGAAAGAAAAAGAGGGAAGAAAAAGAAGAAAAAATCCTCAATAGCTTTTCTCTGGTTGCTCTAATGTAATCAAATTATTCAGTTACTGAATTGAATGTTTCAGCTGGGTATGGTATGGTGGTATATGCCTCTAACTCTAGCACAGAGACAGAAAGGTTAACTCGGGCAGCAGAGACAGAAAGGTTATCAGTTCTAGCCAGTCTGGGCTATTCACCCGACCACCACTACCATCCACAAAGAAAGTTCCTTAGTACACTAAGAAGAAAATAGAAGACTGTGGTGGCAGCACATGCTTTTCTTGTTTGTTTTTTGAGACAAGGTTTCTCTGTGTAGATTTGGAGCCTGTCCTGAAACTCCCTCTGTAGACCAGGCTGGCCTTGAACTCACTGAGAGACACCTGCCTCTGCCTCCTGAATGCTGGGATTAGAGGTGTGTACCACCCCTACTCCCAGCTTGATTTTGTTGTTTTTGTTTTTTCGAGACAGGGCTTCTTTGTGTAGCTTTGGAGCCTGTCCTGGCACTCGTTCTGTAGACCAGGTTGGCCTCAAACTCAGAGGTCTGCCTGCCTCTGCCTCCCAAGTGCTGGGATTAAACGTGTGCGCCACCACTGCTTGGCTGCTTGTTTTTTGAGACAGGGTCTTGCTATATAACTCAGACTGGTCTACAACTCTGGAACTCAGTGGTTTTCTTGTCTCAGTCCTTCAAACACTAGGATCATAGCCATATACCACCATGCCTTACTGGCTTAAAAATCTCCACATACAACCCCTTACCGATTGTTCTTTCGGAAAGGATCTTTTCTACCTGAGGCTGGCAATTAATTAACAAAGTTCCCATAACTGCTTCACAAGAAAAGTATAACTGAAGTGGGCTGAAGAGATTAAAGATCACACACAGTGATAGAGCTATAATTCAAAAGGTCTATTTCCAGACTCCATTATTAATTGCTACTCTATATATTATATTAATTATACTATATAATATGAAATATACATTATATATTGTAAAGTATTTAGGATTACAGTGGCACAGAGCAGGTACTCAATAAAGTTTCTTCTTCTCAGACATGTCTATGTCATGGTCTGGTATATATGAGGAAAGCATTAACTGTGAGAAATTCTTATAGTTTAAGAATTTGTGGTAACTATAAAATCAATACACTATTTGTACTAAGAACATTGCTAAACTATTAACGTAATCTTACTAGGTATTAGTAGAAACAAAATATAACTACAAGAATGTAAGACATAAAAATTACTCCACTTACATACAAATGGGATCAAGGGTCACAGAATATAAGAGGAACAGATAGCAGAAAGGGAGAGAAAACTAATCCATTAGATCCCCTCAAATTCTCAAGTCTTATGTAAACAGAGTTCTTGCCATTGGATATTAATCCCTAATTATTCATTAAGAGCTTCTTTTATGCAACAGTCTACGTATCAAACACCAAGAATATAGTCATAACAGAAAAAAAAACATCTCTCATGGAGTTCACAGACACTAAATGAGACAGCTATAATACTCTGACAAAGGTCAATCACAGCACGGGGGTGGAGTTGTTTGTGGGAGGCTCTGCATCTTGGGGAAGAAAATAAAAGATGGAAATACTTTTGACATAGAGTAAGGCACTAAAAAATGAAATGTAAGCATATTTTCACTAAGTACAAGATAGGAAAAATGTGAAATCCTGGAGGGTCCAGATCTTTTCTAGATGGAAAAGCCCTTGGAAGCAATGCTGAGGATTAATACTTACGCTTCTATGTGAAAATCAAGCTAAAAGTCTATGCAAAGATTCCTGAGAATCAGACAAATAGGGAGCAACGCTTCTGAACCGTGAAGAATATGACAGTGTAATACAAACAAGTTGAAAAGACAGAAAGGACAAGGATTCTATGAAAGATTTACGTTTTCTTTTCTCTTTTTTTGGTTTTTAAGACAGGGTCTCTCTGTAGCTTTGGAGCCTGTCCTGGAACTAGCTCTTGTAGACCAGGCTGGTCTTGAACTCAGAGATTTGCCTGCCTCTGCCTCCCGAGTGCTGGGATTAAAGGCGCGTACCACCACACCCGGCCAAGATTTCAAAGTAAGAGAGATGAGTATCAGTTATCCGGTTTTTACATAATGAACTAGAAAAGGCAAGAGCAGAAGCAAAGCAGGGGTGAGAAGACATGAAAATCTAGAGAGTGATATTTTGTGCAATTTTGGATAGCGGTTAAGATCAGGGTGGCAATAGTTCAGTAAGTGGATACAATTAAAAAAACAAGACTATATATATATATATATATATATATATATTACTTGATAATGGTTGGATGCAGGGGTCAAGGAGCATGAGTCAAAGATGATCCCCACACTGCTGGTCTCAGCAATTACTAAAATGTGAATAAGCAGATTTTTAGTCAAAGTGAAGAAAAAGGGGCTCAAGGGTTCAGATTTAGACATCTGAGATTACCCAAAAGGAATGTGTGCTGGGCATCTGACTCTCAAGCTTAAAGGAAACATCTGTGGCTAAAGATACAAATCTTCCATTATGTCAACAGCACAGAGATATTAAAAGCCAAGAGTCTTTGGATGAAAGAGTCCCAGAGCACTGTTTAGTTAGAAATTGCACTAATGGCCAGGCACGGCGGTGCATACCTATAATTTCAACACGGAAGGCCAGGACAGAGTCAGAGATCAGCATTGGCTACACTATTAAGACCCTTATCTAAGCTCCCTCCCCATAAGTCAAAGATCACTGTTAAGATTGGACATATGGTCCACAACTGCTTTGATACATTCTCTAGAGAGTGAAGTCTAATTCCCCTCCCTAGAGTATGGACTAGACTCAGTGACTCATTTCTAATAAGTACGGTGTAAACATGAGTGACTTGCTAGGTCAACTTCTGCCTTGATGTCCTCGAACTGAAGCCAGCAGCCCTGTCCTAAGCATATTCGAGCAGTCTGACAAGGCTTACGTGGCAAGAAACAGGTGCGCCAATAACCACTTAAGCCTTTAGAACTGTGTTATTTGGACATTTTGCTCACAATTTTATGAAAACCTTAAGTTAGAAACACTCTGACCGTGATGGGTTCTTTTCATTTGCTTGATCAATTTTTGAGACAGGGTCTTGAACTGAACCCAGGGTAGCCTAAAATCTGTGATGATTCTCCTGCCTCAGTCTCTCACGTGCTGGGAATTACTGTCAGGTGCCACCATATCCTGATGCCTTTGGTAGATTCTTGATAATGTATGTGATAATAAATGTCAGCTATTACTATTTCGAGATCAACAGACAAACTAAGACCATTGTGAGAAATATATTGAAATATAAAAACTTAATCACCATCAAAGAAGTCTGAAAAAGGAGTCAGGTAAGAGAAAAGACAGAACACCCAGAAACTTATAACATTGTGGACAATACGCTTCTTCAAAGAAAGAGCCAAAGCATGCTCTGTTTTAAAATTATTTTCATAAGACTCACTTTAGAGGGGTAGAAAGCAGGCACTTTGTTTTTGGAGGGGGGGATGGGAGCTGAGACAAGGTTTCTCCATGTAACAGCCCTAACTGTCCGGGAACTAGCTCTGTAGACCTTTGGGGATGTGTTCCTTCATTACTAACCCAGGAGTCAGTACCTCGCACCCCAGTATTACATATTCAGTAAGTAGGTGTCACTGCTAGAATCATTAGTAGCAATAAAAATGGGAATTTTCCTTTGTCTTACAGTAACTGTTTCTACAACCATAATACAACAGCAAAACTGTTAACCGATTTTATTTCTTTATGTGGGGGTGGGGATTCAAGAGAGGGTTCCTCTGTGTAATAGCCCTGGCTGTCCTGGAACTCACAGGACGGTCTCAAACTCATAAAGATTCACTGGTCTCTGCCTCCCAAGTACTGGGATTACTTGTGCGCTCTGCCATGTCCGGTATAACCTGACTTTATAACCATACTGAGACATCATTTCATTCTAACATTTAAAAATAAAATATATGTGCGTTAAATTGCTAAGAATCTCACCAGAATCTTAATTTTTTAAATTATTGTGTGGTATTTGAGTGGAGAATTTAGAAGACAACCTTTGGGAAATCAATACTGTCCTTTCACTGAATCTGGGGATGAATTTGGGATTGTCAGGTTGGAGAAAGCAAGGGTTTTTATCAGTTGAGTCATCTCACTTGTCGTCATTAGAATCTTTACTATAAATTAAAAATATCTGTTTTGCAAATGTCACTAACAGAGGCTAAGGAGATGGTCCAGAGTTTTGATCCCCTGTAGGCACATAAAAACCACTTGCAGAGCCCGGCAGTGGTGGTGTAACCTTTAATCCCAGCACTCGGGAAGCAAAGGCAGGCGGATCTCTGTGAGTTCGAGACCAGGCTGGTCTACAAGAGCTAGTTCCAGGACTGGCTTCAAAGCTACAGAGAAACCCGGTCTTGAAAAACAAAACAAACAAAAACCAACCAAACAAACAAACAAAAAAACCACTTGCAGTTCTATGCATCTATAAAACTCAGGGCTGGGAAGGTAGAGAGAAGAGTCTCATGGGGAACATGCTGAATGCCCTAGCTGGGAGTTCCTCCA